CTTTTCAGCCACCAGCTATCCATGTGGCTTATCCAATTAACTGTTCTGTGTTCATTCACCACATTTTTCCTCTTATCAATGAGTTTTCATGTGTTGCATTCAGTTTAATACTCTTTATTCACACATTGCATTTTTCATAAATTGGTATGCTGGGTAATCTTTACACTTACTAATTCCAGACAATAAAAGGTTTATACTGATTTCTGCATATACTGATTTTGTTCTATTTGTTTCATTAATTACACTAAATCGTTCTGTCCGTGAGTCCATCCATTTGGTTGCTCAGGTTCATTTTTTCATCTGTTGCTTTCTGCTGCTGTTTGAATCTTGCTACAAGGAGACAAAAATGGTGAAGGGTCTTGTATCAGTCCATCAGCATTGCATTATGTACTTTCCAGCACCGCAAGGAATGCTCTGAAGAAACAATATATTCTCACTTCTTCTGCACATCAGGAGGTTGAAATGGGGAAAATATGCAAAAAAACCACCAAAAAACAAAACAATCCAAACAATCAGCAAAGGGCAGTTCCCAACATACTTCTCCAAAGGCAAGAAAAAGTTTCTTCAGAAGCTTATCACAGAGGTTGCTGAATTCCTCCACTCCTTACTCAGGTCAGCACTTTCAGATGGTGTAACTGGCTTTCGGATGTTCAGAAACTCCCACTATTCTCAGGGCCACATTTGAGAGAGACTTGCTCTTGCTTTGGTTAACAAGCTTGCAAAGTACATCCAGAACAAACCCTGAAGAGTATGTGTGCTTACTCCACATATCTTGAGAGGTTAGGATGCCATGAGGGATCTCCAAGGCAGGCTGCCTGAAGGCTCTCTGTAATGCTACAGAGGACGCACAGGAAAGACACAGGCCAGAGGAAGAAATGCACTGGCAGTTCAACTGGAAAAGAGGCAAAATACGCTCCAAACAGTCCAGAAGGTCCAGAGACTTCTTTGATCCAGTAGAACATGCACTACTGGGTGAATTTCAGTGGAGTCGTTAATGTTGGGTTGTGCTTCTGTAGATTCTAAACTCAAATTACCGTTATAAAAAGTTATCAAAAGGAGTCACCTAACTGCAATAGTCTTTCCAGAAAAGGACAGCAAAAGACAGAGCTAGGAGACAGCAGCCTTGAATGAGGTATGCCAGCTCAAAGTACATTTTAAGCAGCCACTGCAGGTAAAGTTCTGCTCCTCGTTCAGAGAAGGCAGTAACAACAACGTTGTCTTCATGTGAATCAACCTCCTATTCTGATTCGGTACAAAATGCCTCAATTGTTTCAGGCAACTATAGTTTGCACATATCTGCAAGTCACTCTTTGGCTTTACAAAACAGTTTGTGCTCCATATGTTTTTCTTATTTGTATTACATGCACTCCTTGGCACAGGGAGATGAAAGACAGGGTAATTTAAGCCAAGAAAATCATCTGTGCTCTAATAAGGAGAACGCACTCCTTCAGGGCACAAGTTGACTCTCAAAGTGGAAGACAGGTAGTTCATAATGTTTTTATCGAGCGAGGTCAGGTCAGGCCATCTGGGGGTGTCAGTACTGTCACTCCTGTTACACACCCCTGCACTACGGTCATATAGCACAACATACACAGCACCACAGACCTTCCTGTTAAAGGCCTCATTTTGCACGGATGAGGTTTCAGATCCTGGTATAACAAAGCTTTTGATTGACAGCCTATCCACAGAATGCTCTAAGCAAAACTGTTTCGAAGATTAAAATGGCCATTGACTGAAGCTTCTAACCTCTCTTCATGAGCTGCCTGGCAGCTTTTGCTTGTGATTTATTTTCTTCATGTGTTCAAGTGAAGTAGAAAATACCAAACTGTAGTGGGTTACTTGTAAGTGTCATTCCAAGACAGGTACTATAGTTTATGTCAACTCTCATCCTCCCCACTTACATTTCTGCAGCTGTGAAAATAGGGAAAAAACCACAAACAGTAAAAGAAACAAAAACCCTCTTTTTTTTTGGTGCTGCTTCACTAATTCCACAACAGAGAAAGGATGACAGAAATTTGAAGAACAAAACTTTCATTTTACCTAGTAGCAATCTTACGCTGAAGGAAAGGAGAAAAGCCAAAAAAAAAACTTGGACTGAGTTTATGGAAGGAAAGTTTGCAATTACCTACATGTTAAGAAGGCAGGAAGCACAGCTTTTTAAAACCGAGATAAGAGAACAATTTTTCACAGGGAGTGGGAGGCAGAGGAGGTATAGTTCATACATTACACAAAACAACATACTGAACATATAAAATTACAGCAAACTTTGTCAATGTGAATTATTATATCCTCAACATCCTCATTGTTTCATAGGTCCAGGAAGGTAGTATAATGTTGTGTTTCCCAAAATAATCTTTGCTTTTCACTCTTCAGTCTAGTGGGGGATGAAGTAACAGCAAGAAACTAAATTTATTATCACAACTACAAACTATTCTTGATAAAATAATACTGACAGTCCCGGTTCTCTAAATAATTTTGCTACACAGAAGGAGCAGAGGTTAGCATTGTAAGATTATCAAATTAAAATGGTTTCCTTCTACATTATGAGACTAAAATATATATGGATTTTAAGACTTCAAAACTCACGGTCTTGTAAGAGATTTAGATATAACATGAAGCTTCAAACAGTTAAGTACTTCAAGCAGCTGCAGAATTGCCTCACTCTAGCATACGCTTACCAACAGATAAAAATGACTGCATATATAATATCTTTTCATTCTTATCACATTGTAATAAAAGGCTTCGTAGCGGGAAATATAGTCAACGCAGCCACATGCTAATATTGTATTAGTCAGTGATGGAGAAAGCTCATAATTTTGATCTAAATAAACTGGGCCATCATTCTGCTCCAACTGAATTTTGCGTGAGCTACAGTAACATAACTCTGTGCTTATAAAACCAATACCAGTTAAAATTAAAACCTCAGTATGCCTTCTATGGCTGCCCCACTTGCACAGGGACAAAGCACGTTGCTGTGTGACAAGCAGTCTTGGTAAGAGACCTGGTATGTGTGCCAGAGCTAAGCAGAGCATGCTACACACAGTGCTTCTAGTCTGTGCAAAAACAAAAGCACATTGGGTGTCTTCTGCAACTCACACTTTGAAGCCTTGGAGTGAAACGTTGCATTTTAGTAAAGGAAAGTGACAACTATAACACTTGCTGAGGGCTAATCTGTAAATTTTAGTACATCAGTGTATACATGCACTTATTGTAAGCCTTTGTTGTTATACATTGACAAAATACTTAATCAAGGGGATTGCAATTAAGTGTGACAACCAGATCTGAAGACAGACTACAATAGCAATAAATACCATTTGTTCTAAACAGCATACGATATATTCTGCTATTGTCTCTAATGTAATCAAAGCTTATAAACAAAATTTGAGACAGCTAAGTTGGTTTAATATTTAGGACTATAAAGCTTATAACGTATCCACAAACATCTACTACTTATTTCTCTGTTTCTGGGACTCAAACAAGAAAAAGGGAACAAGATCAGCTCAGAATTTAATTTGTCTTATTTCCCAACTTGTTTGCAATATATAATTCTACACAATTAGATAATTTGAAGTTATTACTAAAAAAAAAAAAAAAAAAAAAAAAAAATCAGCAAAACAAATGCAGATCTCAGAAACAGAACAGCACAAGGCAACAAACAATACTGGCCAAAAATAATTAAAAAAATAAAAAAAAAAAAGAAAAAAGCTCACTGTAATCAAGTTATTTCCAGTTATTTTACAGATGAAAAGAAGTTTTATTAGACACTTGACATAAAACACTGTAGAAGTCAGCTTCTCAAGGCAGAGAAAGGAACCTTTGTAAACATCTGAGTTAATACAACCATTTAAATCAGACATACGAGTTTTCATAAAGCCACCTAAACGTCTGTCAGGACACAGCATAAGCTAGGAGTAACTGATCAAGCCATCAGACTTAGACTGAGGAGGACCTCAAAGCCAAACAGAGTGACAAATGACCGTCCCAGGAGCAGACAAGAAACCACAGAAACTCCAAACTGCCAAATTTACTTCTGTTTCCTGCCCATCTGCTCCTCTAAATAAGGTATTATTGACACACCTGCTCCTCCACTACATGCTACCTCTGTGCTGTCATGCTGACAGAAAAGTCAGGACATTCTACCTATTCTCCTCAGCTTGCTTGCGCCGGGAACAGCGCTACCCTTTACCCCTGGCCTGTGCCTAGGCAAAGCAGTGACAGTAGACACCTGAACATGGAAGTGTAAGAACCCCTCAGAATCAAGGCCCACACAAACAAGGATCCCTTCTTTAGCCACAGCCAGCAGCTGATACTGTCAAAAGAGTAAGAAAACAGGGAATAAAAGAACCATCCTTCCACTGGCACGTTAGAATAGCTTCTAGTGCCATAGGGACTTCTTGAACCTCACTTTGTACCCAGTTCATTAGTATGAACAGCATCAAAATGACGCAACATGATCTCTGTGTATTCTTTTCTACCCCTTCCACCTTCAAGCATACAATCTCCCATGAAGAAACACTGACAATAAAAGCAGTTGAATGGTGTTTGTGACTTGAACTTTGGTTTAATAGACATAGTACTTGAAAGATACTAACCAGATCTTGTCAAAACTATGCAGGCCAAACATGCCTTGTCACATTTTGCACTTCAGTGGAATATAACAAAATTAATTATTTACTATATAGACAAAGGTTGCATACAGAGGCCTGCATTAGTGAACAGCTACCCCCTCAGAACTCCCCTTTTCTGCAATCTTGAATAGTGCTTCATTCTACTGATAGTCCTGCTATGGCTCTCAGTGAAGTCAGGTGGTTGTCAAGACAAGGAAGGGTCACAGGCTCACAACTTTTATTTCCAGAAGGAAATTTCTGGGAGTGGTAACCTAAGACAGAAGTGCAGGCCCCTCCAAAAAAAACTCAGGTTCATGATCCAACAGAAAAAGAGCAATTCCAAAACACAGAACAGCTTTTTACAAAAAAGGCACTGCATTTAAGTGAACTTACAGGAAGAGTGGATACTCGGAAAGCTTTTTCTGCCTTCAGACACCAGATCTGGATCACCTGTGCAGTGCATTTCAGAGTTCATTACTCCATCTGGAAAGCAGCGGTAAAAGAAATCGGGACGCGGTCTACAAAAAACACCATGGATATTAAAAATATAAAAGCTGTAGTAACAAATAAACCTCAAAGTGATTATTACATTTACTGCTTATTACATACAGAGTTCATTCCCTTGTGCCTTAACACAGCAACAGAAATCATAGAATCATTTAGGTTGTGAAAGACCCTTAAGATCACAGAGTCCAACATAACACTGCCAAGTCCACCACTAAACCATATCCCTCAATTCAAGGCCACTTTTTTTGCAGGCAGGCTCTCTCAGGGAAGCTTCCAGTGCAGCATGCAAGTGGGAATTGTCTCTGAAAAAGAACAAGCGGGGTTACTCTTGCCTAGAGCAATCAGTCTTGCACAGCACTTCCAGTGACAGAGCAAAGTAGCGTTTGCTGCCTCACACAAGTCTTGCTGACACATCTAGCTGAGAACAGGACCGCAACATAGGCTTACAAGATTGTCACCAAAACAACAACCAAATACGAATGCCAGCCTTCATGCTGACTCTAACTGTATTGAACAAACCTCCAAGTTTCTTTTGACCCTGCTCTGAGCTGAACAATAGTATGTATGTTTGACTGCTGTCATACTGATCCTGAGCTAACAAACCATGTAAAGAAGCAAGGCGAGTGACCACAGATTCAGAGACCAGCTGACTGAGCAACAAGTTGGCTTAGAGTGCAGGCAAAATGAGCTCATGTCTGCCTGAAGAAGGTGGTGCAGACATTCTTAATTATATTTCAAAAGCACTCTTACAATAAAAGTGCCAAGTACCATTATTGTCAGGGCATCAGTGCTGTGGCAGAGAGGGTTCATCAGAAAGCAAACGCAAATACTGCTTGCTCAGTGCTGCAAAAGAGGTGAACAACAAACACAGCATTGGACTCTATTAAATAGTGTATGAATTTAAGTCAAATACATGGTTTTCAACTGAAATTATTCAAAATTTTGATAAAGAGCCAATAAAATAATTATTTTCCAGAGAGTTTTGTTTCCTAGTATTTTTCTGAGCCCTTCATTCAAATTTATGCTTCCCTAAAAAAACAGCCTACCTAGGAGTCCACTTATTGCTTAGCTCCAAGGTTTGCTCTGCCATGGATCTTGACGTTACCTGGAAATACCACATTCAGTAACATGCTTCACACAAAATGCAGGCACTGGGTCATATAGAGACTCAACTGATTTCTCTTTAATCAGACTAGTGGCACTGGCATCTGAGCTCCCACACGCTGCGACTCTTCCCTTCTGCGCTGCCAATTTAATGAACTGACTTCAGCTCACACCTTTCCTTTCAAACTCCTCGTTCGTCTGGATCCACCAAGCAGTCAAACAAATAACAAAACACAAGGGCATAGATTCCTACCACAGTTGGATGTCACATAATGAAGTTGTACACCACCTGCACCGGGGGAAGGATGGCTTCACAAGGGCCCGTTCAAATTCAATGTGCTTTCGAGAAGCATTTATCTTTTTTATTAAGATGTATTGTATTTGTCAATCTGTCTTCATTGCTCTTAACAGTTAAAGCTATCATTTATAACATGACAAGACTTACCTTCCCACTATTAATTTAATAGTATTTGTGCAGACGCCATTCAGAGCAAGAGCCAAGGAAACAGCTACAAAACAGAATGAACAAATAAAACAATAATAACCTAAATACCAAGCTATAAATTGCAGCATTACAGCATTTGATTTACAGACCAAAACCTTTGCTGAACTCAAAACAGAACGATCTTTGCAGCCTTGGTTTTTCTTATTACCCAGACTAAGGACAGATCCCAGAGCATCATAATGATTAGACGACTGACTTTATTCTGCTTTTACTCTTGAGATATCTTATTTCCTTATGCAAAGCCAGTTTTCCTATCATGCCATTTGCACAGGCATAAATCATCAGATGGAAACAATTATTAGAGAATCTTAGAAGTACTTTGTTTAACAGTTTTGCAATTTACTAGATGAAAATCTTACACTCTTTGGGTCAAGGAGAATTCCTGTATAGACCTATACATAAAATAGATATACACACACACACACACCCCTGTGTGTTTATGTATGTATATATGTGTATACGTACGATGCATTTAAACAGTCCACTTTCAAGCTAAAGAATGGTCTTTTGGCCAAAACTAGGATTGGAAGATTTTTTATTTTTCTTTCAAAAGGATGTGGGTGTTTTGATTCAAAATCTTGACATATTTCCCTTATGTTTGCTGCCAGGATTAACCAATTTTCCTAATAAAATTGGAGTAATAAACAGGAATTCTCACACTAGGTATGACTGAATCATCTTTTTTATTTGCACTTGCATGTTGAGTCCCTAGACTTTCCAAAGAACCTCATCTGAAGCCTGTGGAGATCTCGCCTTTGATTTCAGTGGTGCTTGGATCCACACTCCTTTTAGATTAAAACCGATTTAATGTTGCAGTCCACACCATGGCTCCCTGTTAACAACACAAGAGCCACTGAATTTTCTTTCCGATCAGAAAAAAAAAAAATCAGGCAAATCTCCGATTTCCATCGGAACAGTTACAGTAATATAACTTTCGATTGTGACAGCTACACGAGCTATTTTCTCATTGGACTGCTGCCCCAAATGCTGCACTTCAGCAGCACTCATCCTGTCTCCATAAAATCTTTGCCTGAGGATATTATAAGTCATAAAAATGTCTGTGTTATAGCATCTATTTTTCTTTAAGTTAAAAAAAAGGAGGTCCTCCATCAAAGCAAAAACAAGGGTTTTCTCAGACTATAGCAATAGCTGCCAGCAAAAATAAAAGAACAAGTAAATTCTAGAGACCCAGATATTGTTCAAAACAGTCTTCCACTGTCAACACCTATGTTCAGCATGACCAGTCAATCCCATGCTCTCTTCTTCCTCTCAATTGTTTTCTCTCAGTTATTTATGGTGGTTGCACAGTGAACTGAAACTTTCCACAAAGCCCAACGCATACGACCAGCGATGTCACAGCACTACGTTCTCCTTTTTAAAGAACAGGAGATGTAGAGCTCTCTGCTGAGACATGCGGTGAAGTTTACTCTTTTCATTGAGCTTTGTCTGGATTGTTCACTGCATACTTGACTGAACCACGTTTTCACTGTTGCATATTCCTTACAAACGCAATCCAAGTATCAAATGATTGAACGTAAGCTGAAACATAAATTGCATTTGTTCTCATTTTGTTCCCTTTACAAAAGATTCATACTGCCCACCAAAAGTCATATAATCTAGTCAGTAGAGAGATGTAGGCACTTCCATTAGGAAGCTCACTACTCCTTACCCTACATACACTGAATCACCTTCTTTATATTAATGGCTATATGAGGGGCAAACCATTTTCACATCCTTTTAACCTTTGGTCTCTTCTACGTATGATGCCTAACAAAATTCACCTTTTGGGGGACTTCTCAATCATTCATTGAGAACGTTATATGCCAGATCTCAGCAAAGCTTCACCACAGTTAATGGATCTTCACACCGGCTTCACATCACCAGACACATTAACAAACTGAATTTTATTAATGTACAGTACACTTGAATGTAAAAAAGCCACAAGGAGTTCCACACTTACAGCACACACTGAACAGGGATACCCTGCAGAACAGAACATCAAGGCTGATTATGTTATGTTGGTACCCAACATAAAGTCTGGGTAGCAAGGAGAATACGGGGGAAGCTGGCAAGTTTTCTCCTGGACTTTATAGAGGGAACCATAACAGAAGGCAAGAACAGCAGAAAAAAAAAAAAGAAATGTCTCTTTAGAACAAAAAGGTGAGAATAAGTGATGGAGAAACTAATCCAAAGCTCCTTTACTTCTCAAACAGCAAATGAAACTCAGAACTGTGACTACATGCATTTTATGAATCAGAGTTATTTCTACTGAATGGACTTGTCAGTAAAATATCAATATAAGACATTTCAGAACTTAGTACAAATGACTGGCAGCAGCCAAAACAAAACCAGGATCTTTTCACACTTGTTTTAGAGCAACTGGAGGAAGAACAAGCTACGGGAACCCAGCCTTACCTAAAAAATTTTCAAAGGTGGATACGTAGTGCCATTTACACCCTACTCAGCTAAGGCAAGGCTGAACATTAGTTTGACCTTACAATCGAAGGGCCAATAAACTAAAGTGTGAATTAGCCAGTAAAACAGAAATTCAGAATTAGGCATATTTCAAACATACTGCCAAGAGAAACCCCTGCAGTTCTTAGTGCTTCAAAATATCTTCTGCCAGTGAAAGCAATTTAGTCAATTTTGGTCTCTGGCAATACCTACGTAAAAAGGATCTGAGCATATATTACTAAAAGATTTCAAAAGATAGGTGCAGCCAGAATTAGGTGGAACAGTTTAAGATTTAATACCATCCCCATTGTCTACCTGCACCTCTGCTCAAAGTTGCTGCCTACAACTGTAATTAGACCTCACTCAGCCATAGCAGTTCACAGTCCAGGATTAAGTGCACATCTAACTCCACCGGCAGTTTAAGATGAAACATCAGCTTGTGATTAGAAAAGCTGAGCCACGAGCACAGATTTTGCAATGGGGAACCGCAAACTCCAGGAGAAGGTCAGAGAAAACAATGAGAGGAGTAATTTCCCACACTAAGCAGCTAAGTCTCACAGGACTTTCCAGCTAAACCCTTAATTTAGAATAGCTGCAAGTATAAATAAAAGGTAAGTAACAGATTGGCTGTGACAGAAAAATAAACATCAGAACAGTCTCTCAGATGGTCTTGTCTTTGCTGATCAAATTCTGGCCCTTGCTAGCTAGATTGTGCAATTAAGGCACAGAATTTGTACATTTAGAAACATACATAAAAACAAAGGCTTTTGTGAGATGGCTTGTGACTATAACTACACTGAAGCCTCTTCAAGGCTTAGACTACAATTGGAATCAATCTGAGAGCTATTACACATTTTCCATCTTGAAGTATGACATACATTACCTAAGAAAGCCTCTTTAATTTCAGTCTTGTCTGTTCGTCGGATTATTTTCACCACAAAAATGACTGCTAGTGGTGTAAGGAATGAAATTGCCTGTAAGAGATAACAAATATCGTGTGTGATAGCATCAATTCCTTTTCAGTCTTCCTGATTAATAATTAGCTCCTGTTAGCTCCATTTAAACTGGAAGGCTGAACGATCCTTATCAAATGCCTGACCTTAAGCAAAGTGGGATGATTTGTCTCCGCAATGACAGGGCAACGAATACATTAAAACTGTAATATAACTGTGGGTTATAATTGATTTGTAATTGCCTGGAGACGCATTTAGAATGTGAGCTTCATAAATGGAAAAGCAACAGTCTGTAAGGTCCATAAAATTCACACACTGATGCATACAGATCCTGTACATTTTTTCCACACTAAGCATTGCCCAGCCCATCCAGGCTGTGCTCTCAGTAAGACCCTATTCAACATAATGGACTCCAGCACTGACTTCCTGACATTTTAAAATGCTCTTTATTCCACTGTTTTTCTTTTTAACTGTCGCTCTTGAATGCATTGAGAGGATCACGTCTTTATGATTCTCTCATTTACAAGTGTTTGTAAGTGGAGCGAACTGCTTGATTTTGCTCAGATCCAGAAAAAACAACACCTGAACATCTACAAGTATACCCATTGCTTAACTAGGACCATATTCTTTTATTGTCAGTGCTGTAGGACAGGATTCCTCCCACAAGGAACCTGAGATGGCATCTGCACATCAACGCACACACTTGACTTCCACGAACAGCATTTCCAGTATCACAGAGCAATTTGGACTATAGTTGATGATTCACTGTAATATGCCAGTTATCCAAAAAGCATCCTACTTCATGTAGTGCCTGTATACTACAGTCTGTCCTCCCAGAGCAGGTATTTATTGTCTTTCTCCAGAGACACTCAGTTTCTCCCAAGCACAATACCAGGGAGTTTTTCATTAGTAGCTTGCCATGGAAACTGTCATTTTGTTCCCAACTGGTCCTTCCATCATCCTTCTGTCTCAGACCTTCAATTACAGAGGTAAAAGGCAACTTGTAGGCAAAGTACTCCATTTATGCTTCTTGCTGGTTCCAGTCCAAGTTAACCAATTCCTTTCTGGAATCTACAGACCTCTTCATAATCCCATTTGTTCAAAAACAAATCAATGTCTTTCCAAAGCATTTATCCTCTTGAAGAAAAGTGAAGATGACTGGGTTCTCTAAACAAGCAGGAAATTAAGCTGCATATGGCACAAGCGACATTAAGGCTTAAGCGAGATTATGCTGTCTTTACCGAGGCTGAACAGTGCCTTATTTCTTAAACAGCCCCACTGAAATGAAAAATGGACAGGATAGGCATGTTATGACAAAAGACATGTGACTCTCTTCTTTTTATAATACAGATTAATCCCAGTTCTCATTTTATGCATTTGGAATATCTGAGCAGGGAACAACATTAAAGTGCACTATATTTGTTATTTTGGTGGCGCATCTTGGACCAAATTCCCCCCCACCTGCATCTGCAAAATACTATCTAACTCATCAAGCCATGCAGATTAAAACAAGGTCCAGAGTCTGTTCCCCTTTTTTACATTTCAAAAGGCAGGCACCAGGCTTTGTGCAAAAAGACGCACCATTTCCACTTAAAACTTCCTTCTGTCTACGCTCTGTGTGAAATTCAAGTTAGGATGCCAGTGCCATGTCACTCCTCTCTGTCCTCAGCAATAATTTAATCTCTGCTTGCCTAGACAAAGAGTGAAATAAAAAAAGGTTAAAGCAAAACCTAGTATTATTAGTTTCATTCTAAAAAGTAAGGATTGTACCAAGAAAGAAAAGAAGAAAGATATCTGCATTCCATTGTTGAAGAACACGTAGAAATACAGCCAGGCTGACGGGCTTATAGTGGTGGTTTAATGGAGTTAGAAATCTTTTGAACAGGAGCAGGAGCAGCAGAAAATATCAACAAAGAATAGAATTCAAGTGGCAGCTTGTTCCAAACCACTTCACAGTCCATCTTCAGAAATCTGGTAAAACTGCAGATTTCCTCATATTTCACAACCATATGGATTTTTGAGAGAGACTAAGAACTATGCGTGTTTGCAGCACATTCCTGTTCCTTACACAAAAGCATCAGCTGGAAGGTGTTTTTTGTTCTGCAGCAAAATGCACACATAAAGAAAGTTTGGCTTGCTAAAGACTCCTTTTTCTATATTTTGAAAAAAGATTCTGTATGGCTCATATCCATAACAGATTTGGACACAGTCTAATGAGCAACACTCTCCTCAGATGCATCTCAGTAACATTTTCTTTTCCAGCACTGAAATATTCCAACGTTGCCTTGCTTTTGTGAAACATGGACAAAATCTCTCATTCATTATTCATCCTGGCAAGCCAGAGATATGCTAAATTTATAGGGACTCCCACATACTTCCATGCATTTAAGAGAAGTTGACAGTACCTCATGCTTTCCAAGACAAGGAATATCCACTGATGGAGAGACAGAACAAGGCTTAGGTCTTTCCAGTCCTTGTGCCTTGCTTGCTACCCATGCAGAAGTAAGCTTTGTCTAATTTGGACCTAGGTTTGGAGTATTCACAACATTTCTCTTGAATTCAAATCTCTCAGCATATAAAATAATGCAGCAGTTCATAAAGCCTTAGAGATTGCTTTCTGGTAAGCCATAGCCATACGTTTCAGTATCAGAGAACAACACTAATGACAAGAAATACTTTACATAATGAAAGCTTGTGATCACTGCTAGACTTGGATTTTTCTTCTTCTTAATTAAATAAGAAAAAACATTTAGAAATTATCTATGTTTCTTAATTTAAGAAGTTCACCAAGTTACTGAGATGTCAATGGTCTGAGCCAGAAAGAGAATAGAGACTATTAAACATTACTGATTCAGAGCTGCCTGGAAGCTCCACCTGCCATGAAGTATACCAAAAGCTGGCTCTGTGGGAAGTGGTTAATAGGGAAATATACTACAATTATATTCCAGAATTGTGCTTCCCAGTGGCTACTGCCCAGAGGACAGAACTATCCCAACCGGCTTCAAAAATAGTTTCACCACTGCAGCAAACCCCTTACAATGATTCATTATTGGCTCTTGAACTCTTCAGTTACAAACACAGATCAGAGAAATCATGTAACAAGGTAATGCTCAGCATAAGGATAAATGGCAGAATTAAACTCAGAGTCTTTCCTGGCACAACAATTTCATGTTTTGTTGTTGTTTTTTTTTTTTTGGGGGGGGGGGATGTTTTTACACAACTGTCTTCCGGTTTGGGAAGAACATATATTAACATCTATCCAGGCTGAAGAAGTCCTTAATAGAACTTCTTAATGCAATACAAAAAATACGTTGGTGAATTTAAAACCAGGACTTCAGCCTCTGTCTTAGAAGGCTGGGATATATATTGCCTCCTCATAAATAAGAAGTGCCTGCAAGTTGTTCCTTACTTAATTAAAGTTTCCATAACTGAAGGCCTGAGCCTTTTAGCAGAAGAACATTGAAGACAAATTACATCGCTGATTTGCATTTATTCTGAATTCAGCCGTCAAGTGAACAGTAAAATCCTGGCTTCACCGAAGACACAGGAAAAGACACTTTGATGTAAGGGTACTAGGATTTGGCCTCATCTGCCACACCCGCTCCTGTGAAATCTCCACTTTGATGATGTTTTTGCAAAGACTAACCTGCTTGTTTTAATAGCCTGAACTATACCCGTAATTTCTTAGCACTTCTGTATTGGTTTTATCTCACTGCACTCTTACAGGCGTAGATTGTTACGACTGTTCATCATTGTTAGTGAAGGTTATCAAAACCATGAATCGTGATAACCAGACAAACCATCAAAACGGGAGAGACAGTCTGCCTGTCAACATGAGCTGTGCTGGGGAGAGCCAAAGGAATGGTGACAGCAGAACAGCTCTATGATATATTTGGTACCCTTGTTGGCAGAAGCTAAACCAAAGATTTGGTCTACATGGGGGAAAAAAGTATTTAGAGTATTTAGAGGCAAGTATCTCAGTGCCTAACATGCCTAAAACAAATCGGATTTAAAAATTTAAGCCCTTAACCTAATAAGAGCATGGCAAGGTTTTGTCAGGTCACTCAACCAGCTAATTCAAAAAGCTTCTCTAATCATTTCTCTAGCATCCCTCTAACCCTAGCTTAAACGTTAAACTGCAAAATCAACATGCATAAATTCAGTCACCTGCTAACGCTGCTTTTTACAAACTCTCCATGATTTCCTACATTTTGCCATTTTGGACATCCCTGGTTTGGAAAACAATTGTCATTGGAATTAAAGGAACATCCTATATTTCTGAAAGATTTCCTAGTGCTTAGCAAATAAAAGGGTATTTAGTTTACAGCCACCAAATGACCAGTAAACCTTTAGTACTTACAAACATAAGACGTGTAGGTATGTTATCTGATTGCACCAAAGGATTTTTATACAGCCAGATCTCTTCCGGCTGGATTACCCGCTGGAATGGATCCAAAAATTCTGTAAAACTGAAAATAATAATGAAAGATACAATTTTTTCACAATTTGAAATGATAACCAAAAAACCCCAAAGAACCCTGCTGATTCAAAACTTCCCCCAAAGTTAATTATGGTATAGCATGCATTAATTATCCTTGCAACACATCGCTATCCTACCTCATAGCTTTTTAGTAATATAACCTTCAAAAATATACCCTTAGGAAAATTATTTTTAAAATTCTATATTCTACAACTTTATAAAAGTTCCATAAACCGCACTGTGGAGAATAAACTGTCATTTTATTTTTTGTGGGAGAAGTGTGCAAAGAATATTGTGGGATTAGAAAAATCACTTAGCAGATGTCTTACACTGAAGACATTATACACCAGATATCGAATACAAAATGTGTCTCAAACGTCAAGATCCAGACTTTGAAGTATGACAGTTTATTTGCAGGATCACAAAGCAGGGAGAAAGAAGCAGCCCAGATAATTCCTTCCAATGATAGAAAGAACAGATAACTTTAGAGAGTATCTCCAAAAGAGACTTCCTCCCAAACCAGGACGGGCTTGTAGAAACACACTTTTTCTTTTTTTTTTTTTTTTTTTGCGATTGCCAGTATTTTGATTTGGCTGCCAAGCTTAAGAAGAATCTAGCTCTATCAGAAATGCTTCATTCTACCAAAACTGGCTGTTTTAATTTATTTCTCACATCACTTAACTTTCTTAAAAACCAAACAAAAATAAAACAACAAACCAAGCAAGCAAGCAAACATGCACCCAGTTTTGTAATTACATTATTTTGAAATGAAAAGCATAAAAATAAAATGTTGAGGTTACATTGTTATACAGAAAGCAAATTATTTGTGCACTGAAAAAGGAAGCAAGAATTGTGATCTTTGACTACAGTAGGAAGTTTCAAAAGCTTTTTAGGACTATATAAATTGTTTCTCTTAATTTAAACCACAGCTCTCTTTCCATGAACTTGTTCACTGTCCTTTAAGTCTTCTTAGCTTTGAAGTTATATCAGACTTTCTGGGAAGTTTGGACTTTATTTTTACACTACTCATTTCAGGGCTAGTTTACTAGAGCTGAAAGAATGGCATTTGAGAGAAGACAGAGACACCAGTTTTCTGCAGATTAGTCTTACCTAATAAGCCAATGGAGCCAGAACACAGAGGTGTAGGGGCACAAAGCTTTTTTTACTGTAAATTTCCCAAAGCCAAGGGCTTTAAACTCTCCAAAACAAGTAACAGCTACAACAATTGACTTCGTAAATAGAAAAAGCTCAAAGCAATTTGTAAAGCAGAGTAAAATCAAACCATATATGCAACTCCCCCCTGTGAAGACGGGTCCTCACATCTAGCAATTTCCTAAACAACAGCAAGCCTTATCCAGTCTTCTGGGTCTTAGGAAATCCTTCTTTTCATCCCTTCTGAGGATTGACCAGCTGTTCTTCTTTTTCTCATTGTAGTCTACGATCTTGCATCAGCTACAGCCTCCCACGTCCCCAGGACACACTACTACTAAACCCCTTTTACCTTAGCACACTCAGACTCCCACTAGACAAAAAGTACAAAACTCTGTCTGCTCCAAAGAGCTCAACCAACCTCTTCTCCATAAAGGAAAACAACAAAATTTGAGGACCAAACAAGTCAAACAAATTCTTGTCTCTTGTACCGATAGTTATGTTTCCCTTACTGACCTACATGGGCAACAAAATTCTTGTGGAAACTCAAGACGTCTGGTATTGCAAGGAGAATATTTACTATTATACTCAGCTTCTTCAAACACAGAGTCTGACCCAGCTCTCCAGAGAAGGTGCAAGGTGAATTTCAGAAGCGTCAAAACACTTTGCTTCAGTGTTTCCAAAATGAAAATGTAAATCTTTTTTAAGTTTAAAAAACAATGGTTTGTGCAAGACATGAAAGATGGAAGCATTTCTACAGGAGACCTTTTCCAGGAAATAAAACACCTCATATATGAAAACTTCATTTTACAATTTTTCTCTTCAACTAGAAAAATAAAGGTTGATTTCCAGACAACGCAAGCCACTTTGTTTCTAAATTTCAACTGAGAGTCGTAACGTATATTATTTTTATTTTCATTCTTTAAAGACATTGACAGCAGCTAGAAGCAATTAACTGCTGGTTGAAAGGATCCAGTTGCCAAGTAAAGTCACAGGCCTGGGTATGACATTGAACATGTGTCACCTGGGAGAGCTGAACAGCAAAGTTCACAGCTATACTGTCCAGGACTTAACACCTGTTATGAAGATGTACACGGGATCCACGGCCAGGACATACTTCACCGCTGTCATCTAAATCTAAATAAATGGATAAGCACATGCATGTCTGGGCATACAAGGAGTTAATTAATAGAAGCCAGTTGAGTTTCAACGACTACTTCTTTCAGCCAGCCACATCTTTTGTGACATACCCCCTCAGGTATCTGCTGGGCTGGCTGTTCCGAGGCAGTTCTCAAAG